CTGTTTGTCTCTACACATGTCTACACCACCTTGAAGAGGAGACAATGCAGATCCTTGTCAACTCATCACCTTGGAGCATTTGCCGAGCGTCGCCGAGAACGACCCCTGGAAGATGATGGAGCTTCAGACTGCGAGTCGAAGGTGGAACAACCAGCTGGTTGATGTGGACAGTTGATGTGGTGGGTAAAAACCAAGCAACAAAGAATGACAAACACATTTGTGTCTAGTAGTGAGTCCAAGAGCCCCTAGTAGTGAGTCCAAGAGCCCCTAGTAGAGTCCGATCGCTCCGTTCGTAGCGATGCCCTTTGTGCTGGACACACTGAGCTGCCAAGTACGATTCTTCAACAGGATAAAACGGAGGCTGATGCCCCATCTAGGAAGTAGCAGAGAGGATTTGTAGCATCGTTTGTTCAATCAAAGGTGAGGAAACCAAGAAGTTGAGACATCTTGTTTTGTTGTGATTGATAAAGAGAGACTTGGGAGCTCAGCAGAGACTTCCAAGACTAATCCCGGATTGGCCTGACAGTGTTGGGGTGGTCTGACTTGGATGAGTGAGCACCAAGGCATGTTTCAGTGCTTTGTCTATCACCAAAGGTTTCACTTACTGCCCTCTCCTGGTTCGAACCCTCATGGCGTACTCGTAACATGAGCCATCGCTAAGATCACCTTTCAATATCTTTCCTAGAATTCTAGAGTGCAGAGTTTCTGGTGAAGATCTTTGAAAACACCTGGCCAGGTCCAAGATGAACTTTGACATGTCGAATTGCGAGGGTCCGCCGTGCCTGGTCCCAGTTTCGACGCGGAGCGACGGGGAGCGACGCGGAGCGACGGGGAGCGACCGTTTTGGGTTTGGGTTCTCAGGCAGAAGACGGTCTCCTTGAGCTTCAGCGAGACCTATGTCTGGGCGCGGCTTCGTCGGTGGTTTGGGCAGCCTCGGAGTTTGAACTCCTCGCCGGCGCTGCATGGGCTCAGAGAGCTACCCTTTCGAATTCATGTGACATGGCCAAAGACAGAGAGAGAGAGAGAGAGAGAGGGAGCGAGCCTAATAGCGATGGCCTCCAACCTACTAGCGATGGCCAACCTAGGGAGGGGCAGAGAGAAGCAGAGCCACTATCTTTTTTAAACAGAAAAGGACGTTATACGGGTGTGTGGAAAACCAATGGCAGCGGACCATGAAGGACCTTCCCAGTGACGGTCCTTGACATCCCGGAAGGTCAGTTAGCTCTTGAGAAGGTTTTCCAAGAAATGGTCACTGGAAAGGCCCTGGATTAAAGATGTTGTAGAGGACGCTACTAGGAGCAAAGGGCATCGCTACTAGGAGCAAGAACGCTACTAGGAGCTTTTCCCTTCAGATGTTATGGATCAACATCATCGGATGCTACCAAGCCCGGCCACACCGGCACCAAGTTGAGTTTCATTGGGATCGTAGCGGAGTTCACTGCGGGTCTCCTGGGCTTGCTGGTGGGTGCGGGCTACATGCGTGGCTTGTGCCCAGCGCCCCTAGAGGGCATGGAGCGTATTCTGGGGCTTGTGACATGGAGCGTGCCATTACCATGCTAAAGTGGCAAGCCAAAGCCTTCCAAACTTGCGAAGTCGAAGTATGAAGTGTCAACCAATCAGCAGAAAATGACCAGCTGCGTATTCGTGGTGGCCCCGACCAAGACAGGTTTCTCTTGCATATCACACCTGGTCATCTTCATCAAACTGCTAAGGCTTAGCTAAGGGAAGTTCGACCCACTTATCAACCTCCCGGGACCACTGCGAGCGTTGCTTCGTTGGCTGGCTATGTCACGAAGTGACCAACAGCCCAATGCAGTTTTGATGTGCTCAAGGCACATCCTGGCTTATGGCTAGCCTGTTAATGCGTGAGAATGGCACCTCTCATAAACCGAACGACAGGGGCAACTGGAATTAAGAGATAACTGAGAAGCCGACTGGAAAGAAAGAAAGAAAGAAAGGTTTACAGTCTGGAAGGTTTACAGGTCCAATTGTTCTTTGGAACAAAAGAAAAAGGAAAGGAATCCGAAAGGAACAAGGATCGGAGTTCGAATGGCACCCAGAGTTCCTCTATGGTGTCCTCCAGTGGGTTCTCATATGTTCTCATCATTTGCAAGATAGTAGCGTCCTTGCTCCGTTCGTAGCGATGCCCTTTGTTCCGTTCGTAGCGTCCTCTTGCTCCTAGTAGTAAGGCCAGGAGCCCCGAACGTAGCGATGCCCTTGTTCCTCTAGTAGCCAGTGGCAAGGTATTTTCTGTTTCGAACCTTAGAGCAGCGATTCTCTTGTGGGGACTGCTTTGGTGATTCCGTGGCGCTTTGATGGGTGACGTTTGCGACTTTGTATTTAACTTCAAGGTCAGTGCACCTTGCTTAGAACCAATGAGGGGCCATTCTTTGTTGCCGGATCTCATTATGAAAGCTTGGCAGCGAATTACACTGCGAGAATCCAGTACTGAGTGCTGAGCAAAGCAGAAGCTGCAGTCTTTGTTTCGCAGAAAAGGCTCCAGCACAGCAGCCTTCCAAGGTGTTGCAACATGTGGAAAGGTTGCACTTACAGCCCTGATTCCTCACATTAGAGGTTGGAGCAAGGAGGCTACTAGGGGCTCCTGGCATCGCTACTGGGAGCAAGGTTCGCTACTAGGAACAAAGGGCATCGCTACGAACGGAGCAAGGACGCTATTAGGTGGCTCCTTTATGGCCTTGAAGAGTAACAAGAAGCTACTAGGAACAAGTGCATCGCTACTAGTAACAAGTGCCTTACTAGTAGTAACAAGAAGCTACTAGTAGCTCCTGGCCATACTACTAGGAGCAAGGACGCTACGAACGGGGCTCCTGCTGTGAGGTCGCCACAGATGCGTCTTGCTGTGGAAAGTTCTCTTGAACCCCACAGCTCATTGAGGGAGGATTTGCCTAGCACGCTTCTTTCAGGTCTGCTAAGGGTAGACACCCTCCATATTGCCATACATGGTTTTTGCTTCACTGTTGTTTTTGTTTGAAAAACGTAGTGTTTGCGTGTTTGCTTAAATCCCGTACACATGGGGTTCAGGTGGAATTGCCAAGTGACTTCCTTGTTTACGTATGATCATGCACTCAAGCGCAGCAATAAATTCAAACGTGTTTGAACAATGGTTTTGAAGGTATCACTACAAGACAAATCTTTATGGCATAGGAGTCATTAACGTGGTTGATGTCTACCATTTGCAGGATGTTTTTCTTATTCTGAAGGTTCGGTTTCAAGAAGAGAGCACGGTTGACGCTTTGCCAGCAAAGGAACCTTCGCAGAAATGGCTACGGCTCAGATCTGGCACCGCTGCCATGTTGAGCTGAGCCAATCTGGCACTGCCATTAGGTTGGAGGCCATCGCTAGTAGGTTGGAGGCCAAATCACCGTGCACAAGGCCATGGACAGCTCCCAAGCAACTCGCTTTGCATCTCAACCGGAGGACTGCCCTGTGCAACTCTTTGTGCAACTCATTTTTAGCAAGCTAAACTTAAAAAACAAATATTCTTTTGAGTTACTAATTAATAGGAATGGCCTCTAACCTACTAGCGATGGCCTTCAACCTAGAAGCAATAGCCTCCAACTGAAATAGCAAATTTAAATACTAAGTATATGTGTTGTGATTTTCCAATGTTGCCGACCGATCGAACCCGTTCGAACTTTGGACAACAACTCGCAGCCATGTGGAGGGTGGGACGCGGCGCTTGAGACCAACAGAAAACAGTGACAGGGACAGGGGTGGTAGGACAGGGTTCTTACTAGGTGGCTCGGTAGGTTATCCGGTGAAATCCACATTGGTAGCGGAGCCCCAGTAAACAAGGGGGCAAGGTCGCTAGTGTGTTTGGATAGGTTGAGTTTGGGGTTTTTCAACAAACATAGGTTTGTTGACATCTCACCTCGGGGTTTGAGAGAGCCACGCCATCCGAAGCAAGCGCATCGGCTGGACTGGCGTCAATGCCGGCTTCACAGCTGCCGTGGGCCCAGATCCCGCATTTCGTAGCAGGAGAAACGAACTTGGAGGATTTTGCGAAGAAGTTGGTTTTCCTTTCCTCCACTTGGCCGGAAGAGCACATCCAGCATTTGGGACCCAGGGTTGTCTTGCAGTGTGATGCCATTGCCTTCAAAAAGGTATCACAGATTCCCACCGAACGACTGAAGTCCAAAGAAGGGTGCAAGGCGATTTTAGATGCTTTGGGAGTGCAGTGGGGACGCTTCAAGACAGAAGATCGATATTTGAAATTTGAGCGGGCAATCTACTCCACCCAACAGAAGACAGATGAGAGTAACGACAGTTACATTGCTCGTCATGAAGCGTGCTTCGAGGACCTTCTCCAGAAGGACCATGAGGTCACCTTGAAGGAGATTCAATCGTATGTATTGATCAGGCACTCATCTCTTTCATCCGAAGAGAAAAAGCGCATCATCGTGGACAGCAATGGGATCCTCAAGTATGAGACCACCAGAGAAGCTATTAGGCTTTTGGGATCCCGATTCTTTCAGGATTTGCAAGGAGCATCCCGGGGAAAGCTGAAAACGTATGATGTTCATTCAGTGGAAGAAGACCATGACACCAGTTCAGACAACCACAATGCCAAGGGCGATGGTGTTTATGTGAATGAAGAGATTGATGAAGAAAGTGTCTTTGCTTCGCTCATGCAACAAGGCGATGAAGATGCTATCTTCGTGAGCGAGTTTGAAGACCAGATCATCGAAGCGGTTCAGGAGTCCGAGGAACTTTCAAGCTGCTTTACTGCATATCAAGAGGCAAGGTCCCGACTGCGTGAACGTGCCCGGCATAGGGGGTTTTGGCCAGTGAGGCCAGCTACGAAAGGAAAAGGGTTTGGGAAGAAGGGTTCATCCAAAGGAAACCAGGTTGCCGGACCGGGTCGTCGAACTCTCGCCGAGCGGATCGCGAATTCGACCTGTCGTTTGTGTGGCAAACCTGGCCATTGGAAGAGAGAATGCCCAGAACGAGCAGCTCGTGGAAATGAGATGGCGAGCATGGCAGAGGACTACCTGGCGGAACTGCCCGAGGAACTCACAGCGACTTTGCCGGATGAGCTCCACGAAGATCGTCGTACGACTTGTTTAATTCGGTTCGATCGTAGGACTCAAGAGAATCAGATGGATTGGAACCTCACGCATGATTGTACGACATGTTTTCCAAAGACCCATCTAGAGTTTGAAGAGGAGTGTTTCATGGTTTCGAGGGGAGAGAGGTTAAGGACTTGATGAAACATGCCCTGCAATCTGCTCGAAGGATGTCGTGGCCAGTTCGTGACGCTTCAGGGATGACACGCCAGGCCAAAGGCCATGAGCAGACCACCTTTCCACCCGTGGCCAGTTCTCCAGAGTTTGAAGCAGTTCATTTTGCAGAAGAGGAGGGCTCGGATGAATCCATTCTCGACACTGGGGCAAGTCGGACCATCATAGGGAGCAATCGGGTTGAGCCCTTATTGTTGAAATCCTTGAAAGGGGTCAGGATTAAGAGGGGGCCCTCCAAGTGTGTGTTTCGGTTTGGCAATTGTGGCTTGCTCCAGAGCACAGAAGCACTTTTTCTTGAAAGGAGTGGAAAAGGTTGGTTGCGTGTCGAGGTCGTGCCCGGCAATACCCCATTCCTCATCTCGAATGCTGTTGTCGAAGGAATGAGGGGAGTAGTTGACCCTCATCTTTGTGAACTTCGTTTTCATGGGAGTAGGGATGTGATTAGGTTGAGGAAGGTTCGTAGGAGGTTGAACTGTGTTCGAATTAGGGATTTGTTGAAGGTTGTGTTTGAGGATGGGACAGGAGAAACCTGTCTCCATACACTCAACGTGCAGACAGTGAACAACACCGACGCAACCCAGACCCACCCGGAACATGGCATGCGTGACAGAATTCACAATGAACGCGCCAGCAAACCAAAGCAAGCGCTGACCAGAGACCCCGTTAAAGCAGCTCGGATTTCGATGATGGAGACCAACAATTCGATTGAGAGACAGCCTTTGACTCAAGCTTGCAAGCCTTCCGATCCCCGTGAGAGCCACTCTCCAGATGGCGCTCAAGAAGATGGTCCCGCAGTTCCAATTGGAGGAACTCTCAGGGGAGGAGGACTTGTCATTGACAAGCAAGGCATCGGACGAGAAGTTGACCTACAGTCAGCCGAAAGGGATTCACAATCTCCTTCAGTGGGGACAAGAGACATTCGAGAGTGGCAAGCACAAGAAGAAGGCATTCAACGAGGTCTTCCAGAACGACCCGCAGTATGTCCAGTACATCCTCGCGAACACGAGGCTGGTAGCCAACGACATGCGGAGTTTTCAGAATTACTGCAAGGCCATGAAAAAGAAGATGTCCCAGCAGATGGTCACGCAGGGACCCATTCCAGTTCGAAAGAGTGCCACCTCAACAATGTCGAACAAGACGGATTCAGAGTGGGTGCCCATCGATGTCGAATCACCCATGCCGGGGACAAAGATGCTGGAGTCAACACCGGACAAGAAGCGCAGCCTGGCAGAACCACCGTCCACCTCATCGATGCTGGTAGAACCCAACTATCAACGTGCACAGGAGTTACGAACACAG